GTCACCAACAGAGTGTGAAGGGAATAATATAGAAAACTAGGACCAATATCAGTATCTGGGCAACTGCCCACCTACCCCTTCCCTAAACCAACATTGACCTTAACTTGTTGTCAATGGACTGTTGTTGGGTTAGGGGAGGGGTAGGTGGGCAGTTGCCTAGATATTGATATTGATCCGAAAACTGACTGCCAATTAACTTCCATATCCAGCATTTCGTAAAAACTCTCCTTCGACCTTAATTAAACGGAAATGGACTTTTTGCATTACGTTTTAAAAACCTTAATTGTCGGAGCCAGTTAATGTTTGCCTTTCCAAATAAACTCCTGCTAAAACTAGGAGAGGATATTGAAATGTTTAAAGGAAATTTTTAGAGCAAGAGATTTCTCATTAGAACAATCCTGTCGTTGCCAAGACATTTTATAGCACGTACAATATTACGTCTTACAAAATTGTTGCATGATATGCAACCGGTTTTAATTCGAATAAATTAATGTAAAACCTTTGAGAGACAAAATAATCCTGGTTATTAAAATACATAGGAATACATGGGTGCCTAGGAGAATCCGATAACGAGGACGTTGCAAAGCTATACCTCAGCACGTGCGTTTTGAAACCTTGTACATTTTTCAGCAGTCCTCAGCTAAACAATATTGACGTGAAGTAACCGAAATTTCTGCGGTCTGAAAACGGAACCCCGACGGCAAATTAATGAAGTTTTCATTTGGAACTCAACACTTCTCATATGTGCTATGCTGAAGTTGAGATGTGACGGTAAACGCACTCAGAAATTGACACCCGCTTATGATTTTACTACAGCTGCGCAGTTTTACTTACATCTTTTTGACTGTTGAAAACTGCCATGTGATTGAAATTCTGAATATGATGCGTACGTTTTCACCCAACAAAACTTCCTTTTTCCTATCTTAAAAAACACTTTCCGAGCATTCAATGTAAGGGAATGTTTTTTAATACATTTGAGGTAGTATTTTAGTAGTTGCATTAACTAAGTTGAAGCTCCAATGCACTTTCGCATTGAAGTTTATACTGCAGTCGGGTCTTGCTTACTCCGTGTAGTGTGTTACCAGTAATTGCTTATCGATGATTTCTTTGCTCTTGTCACTTGCAGGGACGACTCGCGGGATTAGCTCAGCCTTTCTTATTTTGATTAGGATTTCATACTTCATCGCTCCAGGATGGTTTATTGGGTTTGTTGAATCGTCTCGAATTATCTGAACCCATCTGGTTTCAGAAGAAGTTATCTCAATAAGATGATATAGCGGGATTGCCATAGATACCTTTATATGAAGTTGATGTATGTTCGCCAATACTGCGCCAATACTGGACGCCCCTGCGTACTCTCCCTTAACCCTTGAAAAAGGGTGAGCAAAAACGTGAAAAGCATTACACACTAAAGTAAAACCACCAACTCCCCAAGTTCATCATACTTCTTGGTTATTTCCGTTTTGCTAGTAAACGACTTACACCTTAAATCTCCAAAGATGGCGATTTATGGAGTATGTGACTCACGCGGACATATATCTCTCTTTTTTCATTTTTGAATGCGTTTCGCACTAAGCATCACGCATCACCAGGGCGTGAAATTGCGCCTAATACAGGCGCCAATGCGCCTAAATTTTTCACTTTGGCGACCAAATCCTGAAAGTTAGTCGCCAAATTGGCGACTAGAACGTTTCATCATAACCTTACCAAGAGATATAGTGAATTAAAAAGATTTGCAAAGATAAATCCGCGGCAAACTTCCTCGTTAAGTTTGTTTCCAAAACGTAGCACACGCATCTCGATCGATAACTAGACGCCATCTTGGATTTAGATGAGCCTGAACGCTGTATATCATCCATCCTAGTGTCCACTTTGTAGCACGTTAAAGATCTTTCCCTAACTTAATTTTGGAGGGTCTATCTAGAACGCTGACAGCGTAAAGAAAGATTTTGTTTGTCTTTGAAAATGGCGACCGACTTTTTTTGAATTGGCTACCACTTTGAAGAATTTAGGAGCCAAGTGGCTATCAGAAAAACAAGTTAATTTCACGCCCTGATCACGCATCACGCATCACGAGGCTAAGATGTACTTCATTTTTTGTAAAGTCACATAAACATCATCCTCAGACACCTGGTGATGAAGAACCACTCGTGTTGTTCCTTTTCGAGAGGTCAAAATTCTAACTGCTATTCTTGTTTCTGTTGGTTCGTCATCAGATACCATGAGCATGCGTTTGGAAAGTTCTATGGGTGAGATTGTGGGATGGTTGACACTGAAGTACACCATGTTGGTCTCCACGCTCTTAAGATCTACATCCAGTCCAAGATCTTTCATTTCGTGAATTCCTGTAGAAACAGAAATGATAAGGATGATAAATCTGAACTGGCTTCTCGAAAACTTCCATTAGATGGTCCATAACGCCCCGTGCGCGCTTTTGTAGAATAGAAACTTTAAAAAAATGCGGGATCGGGGGAGGAGGTTGGTTGACTTGATTTTCAGCCACTATGGCAGTCTGGGTAGTGTGAGACTTGCAGGGCTTAAAAGTTACCCCAGGGGCTTTGGAAGATGAAATACAATACTGACCTTTAGCAAAAATCTGTGCATTAGCATGGTCTCTTTTAAGTTTTGGAACTGTGTTATCTAATGCATAAATCCCTGCAGCAGCTAATACACCAGCTTGTCTCATTCCACCCCCAAGAACTTTCCTGTGACGCAGGCACCTGTTAAATGAATTTGGTGACTTTTGTCAAATTTAGAACCTTTTTTTTTTGGGTACATGTGTAATTTTTTCCTTTATAGCATGACATGCAACTAGTGCAAATAAAAAGCTACAACGACATTTAAAACCAACTCCACCAATGACACCAGATTCATTGATAAATACAGCTGAATAAAAAATATAAAAGAAAAATTATTTCCTCTCTGATAGAATAGGAACATGTTTTGAAGTTAAGAGACTGACTGCAATCCAAGGTCTTCACTAATTCCTGAATTCTCATCAAATTCTTTAATTCTTCATTTCACTGAGTGAATATAAAGTAATTTGGAGTGGGACATGACTAGTTTAACTTAACTAGTTTATCAAAAAGGAGTTCTAGGCTCCTTAGTACCACATCATGCACTCATCTTCATCACTTGGAATTTTTCCTTTCAGTAAAAGTTCAGTTACTATCATGTTTGATGCTTTACCTTGAAATGAAATCTTTATCTCCAGTTATTACTGAGCCAACAGGAGCCCCCAGACCCTACATGAAATGTAAACAAGAAAATTAGAACTAAACAACCTTTCATTGCATAAACCTTAAAACTCTCAGATGTGATTGACAAATAATACAACCTTGTAATTCCAATATGCCATCTTACAAACAGGTTATGAAAACAAATTGAGGGTGTTACTTTGAATGTGAGATCAAATTCTCTTTTCTAAGTTACAAGGGAATTTATATTATAGCAAAAAGTACATAGAGGGAAATACATGCACTAACTGGATTGTGGGAGTTAAAGGGGCTAACTCAACAATCAGCAAGTGTGGGAAATGGTGAAATCCTGTCATATATCTTAAAAAACCAAGAACCCATCTGTAATCCAAGAATGGAGGTACATGTCTCTGGGATATAAAGAAAGTAAATTTGTCATTAGATTCATTTTCTTTCTTCGCTCACCTAAATCAAACACTGCAATGTACAATATAGTTGCAGTATTGCAGAATAAAATGAACACTTCATGACTTCAAGAAGACAAAAAATTGTAATCACCGTGGAGCAATCAAACCTTGTATTTAGAAAATTCATGCAAAACAAAACAACATTCACCAACAGAATATATTGTTACCTTTGAAAGACAGAAAGTGACAGAATCAACATGCTTAGTGACCTGTGCCACAGGAACACCAAGGGCTGTAGCAGCATTGAAGAGTCTTGCGCCATCCATATGAATATTAAGGTTGTGTTTTGCAGCAGCATCTTTTAGCTGATAACATAATTATTCAGGTTGGTTCATTGAAAGTGGTAATGTAGGTTGAGAATGAGCCTCCCCCTCTCAAGAGTACTGCCGCTACAGGTGAACCCTTTACACCCTAACATCAGTATGTACATTCTCCACACTGTTCTCTGTACAATTCCTAAGGCCCTGACAAGGAGAATTTGTTTAACAATCAGGAGCTTTTTTAGTTGGTGATCATTCCTTGATTCTTGCAACCTCAATGTTTGATTCAGGGGTGATATTGGAAGGAGAAATTAAAAGCTGGTCACTCTTAGGGTTTAAAGGGTTAAAATTCCTTTGCTATACATCAATCAGTGTGCCTAATAAAACCATCAAAACTCTCTTTAAGATGACAGTTGTGGAAAGCGAGCACCTCTACAGGCTACTTGGACAACAGCCCTATTTGATTTCCATGTATGAGTCTATTCGTAACTTCCATTATACAGTATGTACCTTTTACCTCACCCTGTTACAGACTACTGTCTAATAATAAAAGGAAAATTCTATCCTAACCATCAACGTGAAATTCAAAATTACTTCTTTCAATGCTTACTATTATAAATTCAGAGTGCTTTCTCATTTGCAGATTTTTTTTGCATATAAAAAGGAAACTCGGAAGCACTGGGATAAGTAAATTGACAATTGATGCCTCTCCTCACTGTCTCTTTAATTATAGAAGAAAATCATGTTCCAGTTTCTTAAAGGCACAAAACAGTTATGGTAAACTATTGTATGATGCTGTAAAAGTTGAGAAGATTCACTTGAAACTACAGAAAATCCCACCTTTTTCTTAATTACAATTAAAAAAGATAGAATCCTAATGCTGATTTTACCTTTTGTAAATATTCCAATGACAACACCCTGCCTCCGCTAGCATTATGTGTCTGTTCAACACAAATCAAACGGCTGAATGGCAGATGTGCATCTCCTGGTGAACGCACTTTTTTCTCTATGTCTGCCAAGTCCAATGTACCATCAACATTAGTGTTCACCTGCCTTGAATGAACACCAGCCAATTGTGCGACTCCTCCCTGCTCCCATAATATGATGTGAGCCATGTCACCAACAAGTATCTCATCTCCTCGACCAGGACAGTGCCCCATTACTAAAAGATGAAGTTATGATAAAAATAATATTTACCATACATGTAGTTATCAATAATTAACAAATTTGCCTAGTGAAGGTGACACTAATACCAAAAATACACAATCCTCCCTTCAGTTGTATTGGCTTTTGCTCAGCCATTTGCCTTGTTACTGCTATTTTAAAAAACAATTTTGGGAGAGGTCTGTTTAATGTCAAAAGCCTGATCATCCAAAAGGTTTAGGTTAATATCATACAAAATTCCCAAAGCAACAAAACTGTTTGCCTGCATAAAATCATTTCCAAACAGGTCTGCCCCATAAATAAATAAGCTGGTAAATAGTAAACTTGTTAAAAAATAACCTGATATCAAATTCCCCATTGTTCCACTGGGTACAAATAGGGCAGCTTCTTTACCAGTCAGATTTGCTGCCTTGGCCTGTAGTTCTAATGAAAAAAGGAAAAAAAATTCCTGAGAACCTACACAGAGACTGCTTTAAATGATGGTGACCATCATCTATTATCTATAGTACTATTTAATACTTACTTTTAGAGAACTATGAAAGTATACATTTACATGCAAGTGTCTTGCATGTTCCCCAACCACCATTACAAGTAACCATTTAGGATCAGTCTAACTATCAACTTTTACAAAGGCACATCATGCACTTGCATGCAAATACAATAACATCTCAAGCCAGAATCAAATCTGAACTACTTGTTCAATACCCTGCTCATTAACAAGATAATAAAATATATCAAATTAAATTTAAATGAAAAGCCTAAAAGAGCAGTAACACAGCTGTCATCAAATGGGTTCAATAGAATCAGTGTCAAATAAAATGTTTTCCTATAAAGGCCACAATCAATAGTTCTCATAAAGTGTAGGTATGATTCATGGACTAGAATGGAGCATCAAAAGCCTGCAAATAATTTTTGATAAAAAGGTGGTCTTTTGTCTGACTAAGGACCGAGAGGTCAGTCTGGTTGGACAAAAAATTTTTTATCAGCATGTGGAATTTGAATTCTAGAGAGAGGAATCTATTAACATATTTTGACACACTTCAACATCTTTAATCTCCATTTTAGCCTACAAAATGTACCACCGTGTAGCCAGACAAAGTGAGTATAAAATTTCTTTAAATGTTTTTCAGAATATTTCACTGACACATAATATGTGAGGAGGGAGGGAAGGCAGTTTACTTGCTTGGCAGACAGAGATTTCATTAGATGGAGGAGAAGAACAATAACAACAACATTAGAGACTTGAAAACTGATTGAAATTTACTTCGAGACCCTTTCTAAAAAAATTTTACTTCTTGTGGAGGTCTTGTTGTATAATTAGATCTATTACATGATGTGTAGCACTCAACTATTTTGATACTATCTTGTGAGTGGACACCCTTGGAAATTGGAAAAAGTGTCTGTTAGTAGAGCTGTCGACCTAAGAGAATTATGGGCACCAAAGAAAAATTGGGTGGATACCTGAGAGGATGCTAATGGGAAAAACGAGGAAAGTAGAGCATGACCAATGTGGCTATAGCACCGACACACACGCAAATGTTAGGTTGGACTCTTGTTGAAGTCAAACAAATTGGACAAGTAGTTTTCCCTTGGACGATCGAGATTTCACAAAACTGATCCCCGCTGTTCTGTTGCCCTGTCAAAGGTCACATACGGGTTCGTTACCGCATGGATACACTTTTTGCTGACGTGCTTCACGCTTGAGTAGATGTTCAGATTATGGAAACAGAAAACATAACAAATCGACCGTTCCATATCTCGGCTGCCTGCTGCAACTTAAATAACTTCCTCATTATATCCGACATTTATGGCGAGATTGTCCGACCCGGCCAAGCTTTTGCTTGTCAAATCCAGAAATTTACAGAATATTTGTCCGGTAACCGGCCTTACCTAATCCTAACCCCCAAGCTACGTTCTACTCAAGCCGCCATATAAAGTCATTCTCTCCATTAGAAAAATAAAATGAAAATAAAATACAAACCATTCACTGTCGGATCTTCTCCATAGACATCGTCGCCAACTTGTGCGGTAGACATTGCAGCCCTCATTTCATCAGTGGGTCTAGTCACTGTGTCACTTCTCAAATCAATCACTGGAACTCCAGACCGCTCCTCACCAAAATTGACTCCACTAGCATACAAACTGCTTAAGTACCTTCGTGTCACGATATATTCCCCATAATTGCCGATCTGAAGTAGTTTGCGACAAGTTCTCTTTAATAAACTCGATTGAGAGAAGAACAA